TAATGCGTAACCCTTTTCCCTTTTTTTCAAAGTATTATCGGATAAGAAATCTCAAGATTATAAGAAAATGAATTAGATAATTTGAGTCAAACAAAAAATTGATATGAAATAAAATATATATAATTTTACAAAACCCTAAACCTAAAAAAAACTAATCAAATCTAAACATAATTATTCAATATATATATATTTTTTAAACTTAATCCAAAATAATATTTTTAAAAGGTAATATAAATCCAAAAATATCCATCCCAACAATATACCAATAAATTTTATAAATAGGAAAATAATAAATTGCCTGTCCTCCAATATGGAAGGAAGGCAAAAACAACCTATTAAAACAAAGAGACGTTACGAGAAAACGCTCGATGTTCAATGCAATCGAAAGAATTTGTCTCATTGTCTGATCCGTCATGTTGGGAACCTTCTTTAGTATTTTGTTTTCAGATAATCTTATCTATGGCAAAAAAATAAATAATTAAATAAAAGTTTCCGTAGCTTTATTTACTATAAATACCTCTTTTCCTTGAAGATTCACACCCTCCACTTCCCCCCTCCCCTTCCTCGTTCTTATCCTTTATCTTCTCCCCTTGTTCTGTTTTGCTTCCAACCTCATCATCTCTGCAATTCTAATTCAACCGTTAGGGTTCTTGAGTTGTATAGGAAAATATCGTCGCGGGTTGTGATACGACTTACGAGAAATCTCACCGAAATCTTGAGACCCTTCCCTTCTCTTGCTCATTTCTTCTCTTCGTCATGGTGAAAAACGAAGAAACTTTCTGTTAGGACAATCTCTAGTTACGTATTACGCAAGTCAAAAAATGGCGAAAGCTCCACTGGCAACAAGCTCGGGTTCAGACACAGGTGGGAGATATGCGGAGATGGATGAGAAGAAGAGGAGACGAATGATATCTAACAGAGAATCCGCAAGAAGATCGAGATTGAAGAAGCAGAAGCAAATGGAGGAGATGGTCCACGAGATATCGATCCTCCAGAGGAAAATCAAAGAGAACAGAGACAGATGCATGGTCATGAGCGAGAGCCTGACAACTATCGAATCGGAGAACGTGTTTTTGAGGACGGAGATGACGAGATTGATGAACTACATGAACAATCTGGAGATGATCACGAAGAACTTGACAACGCAGAATAGCGATCAGAACGCGGAAACTGTGACAGGAGATTGCAGAAGGCCTTGTTCATTGGGTTTTTGTGTTGGCAGTGATGGATTTGGTCTGTAATAAGAGGCGTCTTCTCTTGTATTATTGCCTTGTAACAATCACTTCAACATGGTTACCTGACGCAAACGCAAAACGCAAACGCATCTTGCTGGAGTCGCACCTATATCGCGTGCAGTGATGACTTGATGAACAAGCATTGTTCATGTTATTTCGGTCTAAGCTTGACGTGGACGGATGCCTCTCTCAGAATACCCCTGAAGTTCTGTAATATTACTGCTACTGCCACTGCCACTGCCATTCCCAACAGTTGCGGTGGACTTGGATATTCGACACCTGCGTGAAGAATGGAGATTCGGCGTAGAGAGATTATTTGAAGGAATATCTTCGATTGCTCAAAACGGAATCGCAGAATTTTCCTCGTCGATTTCTCTACTCTTTCGCCGTGAGATCGATCGATCCGGTTTCTCCGAACCCTAGCTGAAGAATCTCCGAACAAAAACGAAGAGCAATGCCCTTCTGGTGGCCGCCGATCATCATCGCCTGCGCTTACGCGATCTGAAAATTCCTTCTGATGTTCGTTCCTCCCAATCTTTCTTCAATTGACGTCGTCGCATCCGACGGTACCTATTTCATCATCTTCTTCTTCCTCTATGTCTCTATTAGCTCGGAGATCTCTGTATGAATGCTCGGTGTTTTGCGCTCTTTTATGTAGGAGAAAGTGTGCATTTGTGAATGCAGTCTGCGCGATCGACGTCTGATTTGGAGGTTGTTCATCGAATCGGTGAACAGTTCTGGCGCATGTATGTGAGTCCTTCCACGATATTGGTTGCTCGGATTTCATCGATATTGTTGCAATTAATGATCGGAATTTTATCTACTACGTCGGAGGTTGCGCGCGATGTTTGCACTTGAAAGTTTATGCTGAGTTTGTCTCTGATTTAGTCATGGCAATACTTTGGCTGAATACAATCACAGGCTCGTAGACCATGTGATTTAATTTCATTCCAATGACATTAAGTTAGATTTCCATATTTGTGATTTGAAAGCGATTAGCTCATGCAGTTTTGCATGCTAGTTCATCGATTTGGGATCCGGAGGTTTACAGTTTAGTCTAAGTTAAATGAGGTCTTATGAAATACTGAACTGAATCATCTGCGTTTCTAATCTGAAATGGTGTGTGGATTCATCAGAAATGGAAAGGTCTGCATAAGTTATACCTTTTTGTCCAGCTTCTGAAGTATTATATCATTGAACACAAGATTCTGTTTTGATTATAAGAGGTTTTGCTGTTAGATTTTTGTTTGTTTGTTCCTTTTCCTCGTTAGTTTCTCTCAATCTCTAGAAATAATTATAGTTTCTATGCTTGTTTAGGACATGCATCAACTAATATCCCTTTGACAGCATTTTCAATCCTATCATGGATGCAGTCTTTTTAGGAAACGGCATTGCTATTAAGGTATAATTTTTGTTTTGGTAACCGGATATCTCGAGCCAAGGTCCAGACTAATCACGGAGCCGAGAGCCAGCCAGATGATTTGGAATATACACTCCCTCCCCAAACTTGAGGTTCGAACTCGAGGCGGGACTGACGTTTTGCACCCCATTTCACCGGTTGAAGTACCCAAGTTTGGATCTATTAAGGTATAATTGCTATGGCCTTTCTAGTTATATTTGCTAGATGCCTTCTCCGCTTTGTCTCTTCCACAACTATACATTGGCATTTACTTTGCATTCCATATCTGAATATACTTAGGAGGCTTCCCCGGAGGAGAGACCCTTGATTTCTTCAAAGGTGTGTATATGACTGACTTCTTCCGAACACGAACTTCAGACCATCGAACGCCTCGTGATATGGACTTAATGATCGCCGCTTTGCTTTTCTCGATCGTTAACCCAAAGAGAAAACGCTAAAGGAGACCGGATGGTGTGAGTTACAAAAACCCTTTTTCTTCTGCAGGTAGGGTACCATTTAGTTTCTTTTTACTGCTACAAACTAAAACATATGTAATTCAAAACAGTTCAAATCTCTACTCTTCATTTCCTGTTAGGTTTCTTCACCTATGGACCCCCATGTTCTAGGGGTGGTGGGTTTGGTATCCAAGGTCACTGAGTATCTGCCCGACCCATGAGTTGGATATTGAATTATCGTTGGATCATGCGGGTACCTAAAGATTGAGTATTCGACCTTTCACGAGGTTGAGATCGGGTAGAATGATCAAGAAATCTGAGGTGGTCTCGAGACCGAGATCGGATAGTCTGATCGAGAAATCAAGTCCAAGGGGGTCGAGGCTGAGATCAACTCCTACCCTTTTCAGCTTCAAATCATTAACTACAGACATGGATTAGGTTATGAAAATTAGTATTAATTTATGTATGTGGTTTAATAAAATCAGATTAATATTTTTTAAATGTATTATTATTTACTAATGTTTTCGATAATATATATATATTTTTTAATATTTGTAGAAAAAGATGTTGAGAGGGTGGAGTTTGGGGGAGAACTCTGGGTGAACAAACACATGGGAAATCTTACATGTATGTTCTCAAAAAGTACACATAGTACTAAACAACTCATAGTGTTTTGTCCTCTTTCAGATTCGTTATATTCATTGTCTGATTTTTTCTTGACCGAATCGTTCAAAGTCTCTGCAACTCCATCCCCCACCTCCTGTTGAAATCACTCAGAACCAAACAACCCGACACCATTATTTATTAATCCCCCCCCTTACCCGCAAAAAAAACAAACATTCGATGTGTGTATATATATATATATATATGTTGTTTCGTGCATGCATTTTACGTATTATATAATATATATATATGTAATTTCAGATCGGCAAGCATGCATGTTGGATCAACTTTACGTGAGTATCTAGGGTTCAATCATGTGTATTTGCGGGATCTTATTTGGACACAAACCACATACGTAAACTACGAAAGTTGGCGTCAAGATATACAACACCCATAATTCATATGATAGTAATATAAAACTTTGATTTAGTTGAACACCTTCTAAATTTGATCGTCTCTCGGTATTTATATAGTTCATGTGTATACTACAAGTACACATAATGTCCAATGGATAATCCATAACCAAAAAACCAATGTCCAACGGATAATATCCGAATAACAATATCAGAAAACACATGAAAACTTTGGATATGTAGATGATTTGTATGTATGTCTGCACAATAAGAGATCCGTGATTGTTAAATGAGTGATTCAGTCAATTAATCGGACAAAACGTCATGGCGGGTTCATATGCATGCGTATATACAAAAATCTGTGGTCTAGGTTTTGTCCCGAAGAAGTACGTACGTATGATGCGTCACTGTCATTGTAAGAGAAGTAACGTGTTCTTGGTCAAGCCCTCTATTGATTCATGCCACTCTTTCTCACCTGGCTGTAACGATTCACTTAGAGAACTAACTAGAAACATATATATACACTTTTTTTTATATATTATTTAAATATATCCCATTTGAAATATTGCTAGCTTTTTTTGTCATGATGAAATTTTGTTGCCGTATTTATTCTCTCTTTCTGTAAGATCTCAAATTAGATTTCTTGAAATCCTCGGCATTTTTTTTCAACTTACATGAACTGTACTATATATTTCTCAAAGATATTCTCAGTGGTTTAGAAATAAGCAAAATTACATTTCTCTTGGAGCAAGCTTTCAATATATGTAGAAATCCCTTCACCAAAAAAAAAAAAAAAGCTTTTCATATATGTAAAATGGTTAATGAGTTTTCCAGATCAACGATTTGCTATTGAAACCCTAAATAGATTAAAAAAAAGAGAGAAAAGAAAATAGAATTGGGAACGATCTGTACTACATCATCCTCAAATATATAAAATATAACTCGCATTTGGTCTCTCGGGTTCATGGGAGGGTTTCCATTAATTACCCTACATATGTTTGCCACCTGGATATATATACAATATATATATATATACACGCTCCCCAAAGAACCACACCATATCCATTTAGAAACATATTGTAGAACCCTTTTGCTCACCTTTTCTTGGACAAAATTAAATGGTCGACAATAGGATTGTGATAAGGGGGTTCGATGAGGAAAGAGATGGAGAAATGGTTGGGAAGCTTGAGGGAGATTGTGAAAACCAAGGATCAATTCATGATAAACATCATGATGATAATGAAGATGGTGGTCATGATCATCATCATCTTCACAAGAGGGTTTCCACGTTCACGAACATGATGGGCAAAGGTGACCCTTTATGCAGGATCAGGCTCTACCCTCTTCATCTCATGCTGGTGGGTCTTTTTCTTTTCTTTTTCCTTCTTCTCAAAGCACTTTATATTCACATATACATAGATAGATACACACACCTCTCAGTAGTTGATGTAAGTTATTTTCTTGAGAAAGTGTACATATATATTGATGTGAGTTTTGATATGATAATAGGTTGCTGAACTTCAAGAGAGCAGGGAGGTTGTCGGTGTGGTGAAAGGATGCATCAAAAGTGTTGGCACAAAGCACCTTGGATCAGAAAATGTGAAGTTGGGTTGCATAATTGGCCTGAGAGTCTCTTCCAATCACCGGTATATTTCTATCTATCTGTATGTATATAGTTTCTTGTAACAACAAGTTCTTGTTGTGAATTACCTAAAGGAATATATATGACACCAAAGAAAACGGTTTCATCAGTCGTATCTTCTTAACTGGATACAGAAGAATGGGGATTGGAGTGAGGCTTGTGCACTCAGTTGAAGAGTGGATGGCAAGAAACAAAGTGGATTACACATTCTTAGCAACCGAAAAGACCAACGTGGCTTCGAGGAACCTCTTCACTAGTAAGTGCAACTACACGCAATTAGCTTCACTAGTGATATTCATTCAGGAGCCGAGCAGTGTGAAGCAGTACTCTGCCATACCCAAAGCCATCAAGATAGAGAGTTTACGTGTGGAGGAAGCAATCTCCATGTACAACATCAAGCTCAAGGAGAAAGACATTTATCCGACAGACATAGAAGCGATCTTGAAGGAAAAGATGAATCTTGGGACTTGGGTTTCGTACTTCAAGGACGAGAAGTGGGTTCGCGCTGGAGAAGGAGAGACCCCTAGCTCCTGGGTGATGTTCAGTGTGTGGAGCTCTTGTCAGGCTAACAACGGAGAGGTCTGGTCGATATTTTATTATTGACATTAAAAAAAATTAAAGAAGAAGCATTTCAAACATGAAATAAACCGGGTTTTTGGTTGTTTCGTGCAGTGGCTGCTGCCCCAGGTGAAGTTCTTGAGCTCGGTAATGGAGAAGGCGAGAGAGAAGATCTTGCCAGCATGTCTGAAAGTTCCGAGAAGTGTGGAGAAGAAGAGATTAGGGTTCTTGTTTCTGTTTGGGATCCATGGAGAAGGCGAAAGAGTGGAGGAGCTGGTGAAGTCCACGTGGCGTTTCACCATGAGGTTGGCAGAGACAGTGAAGGGATGTGAAGTGGTTCTGACAGAGATGGGAGTGTCTGACCCTCTGGTTAGGTTCCTTGAACCGCAAGCCATCCCGGGTTTGTCCTGTATTGACGATGTTTGGTACATTAAGAGAGCCACGTGTCACGGTGGTTGCGCCGGCGATGAGGTCACCGGAGAATTAGGTAATGTGTTTGTTGACCCTCGAGATTTTTAATCTTTGTTTTTTGTTTTGCCATTGTTTGTGTCATGAAGACATTACGCAATTGTTGTCGTTCGTTTTTTTCTTGCATTTAATTAAACCCTTGGTTTGGTCGGATCAGGACCCTCTCAAACCCTCTGGATCCTTCAGAAGCTCATCTTGGTAAATTGTAAGAAAGATAAAAAGAGAAGAATCAGAAACATGCACACAAAAAAACCATCCTTTGGTGGGCCATGAATTCACTATATATATAATATATATATATATCTATGGAATTAAGAAGAAGCACACCAACGCCTCTTCCGAACTGGCCTTTGTTGCTGCTTGGCTTCATCTGTATCAGCCCTCAGTTCATCAGCCTTTGCTTCGTCTTCACCTCTCGCCACCCTCTTCTTCTCCGTTTCTGATTCCTTGAACCTCTCCCTTCGTTTCTCCATCTTCTTCAAGCTCTCTTTTATCCGCTCCTCGTCTATCTCTTCCGAATCTTGAATCTGCAGGTGTTTCTTCTTGCCTAGCTTTCTCGATTCTTCATCTCGAATCTTGAATCGTGAATAACCATGCAAGTTCTTGAAGTGAGTTCCCTCTAACTTCGCCTTGCCTTGTCTGCCGTTTATTACGTCATCTGGATCCTGGATCCTGTCTTTTCCATGGCTATGGCTACTTCTTTCTTCGGTAGATGTTGGCGTTCTTCTGTAGCGTTCTGACATATCACCGGTATTTAACGGATGCCCGTCGTGATGTGTTACACCTCCGGTTTCGTTCTTCGACTTATATCTCCAATCTTCGTCATTGTTAAGTCCAATATCAGTAAGCTTCCCTATCCGATCATCATCCCTTTCTCCAGCTTTGTATGACCGCTCCCTTCGGCTATCAAATGATCTGTTCGCTTTCCACATTTCACTTCTTGCTCCTTTAGCATACCAGGATTCTCTCAGCGATAGAGAATATGAGGGCTCGACACCTTTCATTCTGTAATGAAAACCGGCCTTCTCGGAGGCAAACCCATCAATACGCCTATCGGGGGCAAAGTTGTATGTTTCCCCTCTGCAAGAGAATTCCCCATCTCTTTCATACTCTGGATATTCCCTCCAACCCGGTTCATCAAAAGAGTGCTGCCTCTCATGGTACACCGAGTTAAGTGGCACTCCATATTTTTTCCTATGAACTTCATCTTCGCAGTGATAACGATGTAAAAGATTGTCATAATCATACCTGTCCCTGTAACGTAGATCATTCCCTTGTCCCCATTGGTGGTTATAGTTTCTGTTATCTGAAAAAAACCTATGGTCCCTTTCGGTTAAAGGAACTTCCTCCATGTAAAAGTGTTCTGTACGGGAATCATATCGATTTCTCCCTCGGATGTTCCAATCATTAAGAAACGCGGCACTTCTTTCATGAAAATATCCTCTTTCACAATGATGTTGATTATATGGATCCTCCTCTTCCTTAAAGCTCCATGACGACTTTCTCCTCGGATTATTGAAGGATGAATGTGCAGTATAATCTCCGAATTTCTTCTCGTAATTGTAACCATAGGAATGTTCCATGCCCCTATTGCGCAATGATTGTTTATTACGCTGATAATCAAACTTGTGCAGCTCTCCCTTTCCACATCTACCATGGTCCGTTGAAGCATAGATCCTCCTATAACGTCTTTCTCCATCTGACACATGAAACCCCTTGTCATCCTTGTCACCTCTTCTTGAGTTAGATGGCTGCCCATTATTCCAGTATTTTCTTGAGTAACAGATAGGACGTCTATTTCTGACAAGTTTTTCCTTGCCAGAATCTGACTCTGATCCAGACGATGATTCCCTAACATTTTCCAGTTGTATCTCCCTTTGTACAGCATAGTCAGGTCTCCCAGCATAGTCAGGTCTCCCGCAATGCCGTTTTCTCAGCTCCTCGTGAGATCTTCTGGGCCTGACTCGCTTTGTCCCATTCCTTTCCCAAACATCGTGAGATTTTCTGCGACTGGGATGTTTTGTCTCGTTCCTTTCTCCAGTTTTGATACTGTTTCGTTCATGGACCTTATATTCTGATGGCTTAGTCGGTCGAGGTGGTGTCGAGACTTCAAGTTGGTCAGATTCAGTTTCAGAATCTTCAGATTCCTGGCTCCTACCGACAGAATAGGAAGGAGTAGGACTAAAATGAATTTGATCTGGAAGAGATGATTCCCTCTCAACTGGGTAAGGATCTGAATCATCTGAATTCCCACAAACATCTTTTTCTTCCTTATCAATCACTTCCTTAGCACATGGAGCTCCTTCTGGACTGCAACAATTCTCTTCCGAAGGAGACTGCTCACTGCTGGAAATTCTATTGTTTCCTTCTTGGAACTCCATAGAGGCATGTTCTTCTGTTGAGTCAACGGATGAATGCATCTGTTTGTTGTCATTTTCATTTCCAGATGCACCTGTTGTCTCAGTGGGGAGATGACCTGGTTCCTCAATGGTCGAGCCCGATAGCTCCCGAACAGAACTATCCACGGTTATCTGGTTTGAACCATGGAATCATCAACCAAAAAGGTCATGATACTAAAAATGAATCAAAACAATGTGTTATTATTAAGTCTCTCACCTGAATCACTACATCAGGATCTGGATCACGAGGACGACGCAGATCCACAGAAGGTATTCGCTCAAGAGTCCTGTCTTCGACTTCAATCGCTCTTCCTTTCATCTGAAAAGAAAGGAAATTGTCATTTAAGATTAAGCAGGCCCTCAGAGAGATCATCTTTTCTTCGATTCTTTCTAAGAAAGCTGTTTAATTCTTTGTTTCTCAGGCCTACAAAAAGAACTCGGAATTTGTAAACTCTTTTTAATAGGCATACCAGGAGACTTGATCTTCCATCATTGGATCTTGCCGAAGGTTCAACTTCAGTTTTATCTTGAAAATCATAATCCAAAGCCATTGCGTGCTGGACCTGGTTGGTAAATGCATAATGATGTCTCTGTGCAAGTTAGCAAACAATGAGAATCTCCAGTTAAACCTACCATACTCTTGTCACAACATAAAACTAAATGCGAACTAGAGAGACAACACAAATACGAACACGAAAAATGTAATAGTTTATTTACCAAGGACTTGCAGTAGTCTTCCCAGCTCTGCTCATTAAACCCAAAATTGAAGAAATCAGTGATATTTGCACCAGGATTCTTCCACGGTTTCTCCTCAAACAAGTTGATACTCGAGCCAAACACAGTTCTGAAAGCAATTAGACAATAGACACCCCTTACATAAACTAAAGTAATACGATCCACATTCAGTTAAACTCATCAACCAGATATCTTAAACTAAACTAAGGTTGTTCATGTCAATGCCACAATATTTACACTAACCTACACCATGGCTGAAAGAAACTATATCCACATTGAGATGTTCCTTCAGCTCGATTAATGCAAGCATTATTACCCGAAGCCTCCGTCTTCATGCCACTACCAGTTTTTGGGTTATCCGACATTAGGCACTGCAAAAGAACAAACCAGAAGAAAAAGATATTCTATCACACAAACACAATCGCATTGTTCTCAGAACTACACATTGCAAAAACCCCAATCGCATTGTTCTCAGAACTTGACACCCAGTTAACGAGACAAATTCATTGAAACACCAAATGTAACTCAAACTCCCAAAAACTTGCCCCGTTGCCTGTCTCCGGTCTCCGAGCCGAGTTATTACTATCAGATGCTTCAACGCCATTCGGACCAACATCATTGTATCCACCGTTCTCGTTGTCCCCATCTGTGAGTACTATATTCAAATCGTCGTCACTCTCACTATCTTCCGAGTCGATACTCTCCTCGATCTGAGTCACATCACCGCCGCCGTCCACACACAGACTCGACTCCCGAGTCTCGACGCCGAGTTTCTTCGCTTCGGTTCCGGCATCGGCATCCGGCCAAGGAGTTGTCCTCGTCTCAGAACTCTCAATCCTGTCCAAATCCGTGCCACATTCTGATTCTCCGGGAAACTTCCCCGAATCTGCGTTTCCGGCGACGGCAGAAGTCGCCTGAGCCTCGGCATCAACGTACAGATCACCGAAATCGTCGTCAGTGGCATCCATTGTCAAGCGGACTGAGAAAACCTGGCGTGATTGTCACACGGACGATCTTCCTCTCGGCATTACAAAAGATGATCAGAGGGGAAGAAGACGATAGAAATCTGCATCAGGCGAGGAAGCAAAAATTCTTAAACCCTAACGACACTCCGAGCTTGGCCTTTTTCAACCAAAAAAATGCAAAACCGGATAACATACATTAACAGCTAATTTACAAAATTATTATTATATATACAATAAAATTCAACGAAAAATGCATCTCACTGAGCGAAGCTGCAATTTACCCTAAATTATAAGGTAATTTATAATTTTAGCTGTTGTAATTCCTATAACATTTACGACCATATTATTAATATTACTAAATAATAATTTACAAAATTATTAGTGAGTGGATAGTACATGGAGAAACAAGAAATGAAACCTCATCAGTCTTGCCCTTGGCTCATCATTGAGAATATCGCGAAAGTCTACATTTATTAAGCTCAATTAATTTAATTTTTTTTAAATCATAATTGATTATTGGTATCAAAAGACATGTTTAGCGATTTCATTGAATCAAGATTTGTATGAACGCTTTTATGCTTAGGATATCTGAGCTACAAAAATTGAAAACCTTTGTTGTGTAGACAGGAATTATGAAAACTAACTACGAGGTATATACTGTTGAACAAAGTGGCATTTTACCATTATATATAAAATTTAAACAATGAAAATGTTAGTTCAAATATTAATAAAGTTTTCTTTTTGCCCCAAAAATAAAAAGATTACATCTTTTTTCTAAAAATTGGTACACTTTAGTTAAAAATGGATCATACATAACAAAAGTTTTACATCACCTTCGACATTGGCAGGTAAACTTTTCAATACCATCAACGTATATATATATATATATATAAAGATTACAAAGTTGCTAACTTTCTAATCGAAATCTTGGGATAGATGGCATACCTGCTAGACACGGGGGTGGATGGAGCTGAATCGCTTGGAAAATAGACAGGAACAGGTCTGAACTGTAAAGCCCAAGTGTCTGTTTTTTTGTTTTTTTTTTGGGTGTCAAAGCAAGTCGATTTGCCCAGATTCCACTGCCCTTTTTATGATCTTGTAACGTATGAAGTATAAGTCACCGTGTTCCATCTCCACTGTCTCAGGGCTCTCTCCTCTGCCCAAGATTAAGAGCAAAGATCAACTCAGTTAGTAGTACACAAACAAGGAAGCAGATCTGAAGGCCCGGCAGCTCGTAGGTGCAGTGGTTTTCTTACTCTTCGTATAGGTTGAGAGAGACGAAGTTCTTGCTCTTCGAGACAACGAATGTGTCCAGATGCGGCTGTGGCACTGCAAATTCGCAAATCTGTTAAACCTGAAAGATTAAACCTTTTTGCCGGGTTTACCAACATATTTACAATTATGAGACCTTGAGATCAACACTAAGCAACTCATATTCGAAGGCTTAAGAGACAGAAGTTTCTGTTTGTGAGATGAATAAGAAATACTACCCATGTCATCCCCTTCGCTTATAACCGATTGCTTGAGAACTGACTGATAGTTTTCAGGCAACTTGAGCAGAACACTCTCTTCAAGATGCTTTGCTAAATCATCAGCACACCTGGAATTTTGTTCGTGCAAAGATTCAAAACCAAATGCCACCACACAAATTCAAACCGATTCGGTAGAATAATCAAAATTCCATTAAAAGAATCACCTCCTGGCAAAGGTCTTCTCTTGCTCGGATAGTCGCCTTTCAGCATCCTCCGACTTCAAGCTGTGGAACATGTACTTCTCTATCTGCAATAAGAACCCACCATTACTACAGATCACGCAGAAAGAGAAACGAAGACAAAGAAGTTTGTTAAAAATTGAGCTTCCTCTTATGAGCACATGCTTTTACATGACATGAAGAGAACGCCTACTTTCATAAGTCGAACCCGCAGATACGATCGCAACAGAAACTGGGTTCTGTCCAAATCCATCTGATAGAGTGACACCACAAGAGGGTCGATTCCACTAGTCACATATTCTTCAATTGTTTCTTCCTGTAATCCGGGAATTCTAACGTAAACTTCACAAACCAAAACATGAAAATATAATCCAGAATGAACCAGAGAATTAAGAACTAAAAAAGGAATACAAGAACATACCACCAATTCGATCTGCTCTTTGGTTCGTTCCACAAGAGCCGCCTCATACTGAAGAATCTCCGGTGCCGCCTTCTCGTTACGCCATGCTCTCATCAACAGCTCGACATCTGACGACGAAATCAACGTCTCGTAATCCCCCATCTGATCTGTCGATTCCATTTCCGAATTCGACGCCATTGACCCTTTCTCTCGATGGCGATGATGAAGCTTCTTCGGTTCCCCCTACTTTTGGATATAGAAGCCATAATTGATTAAGATCGCATCATTTTGTTCGAGTGGGAAATAGAAGCACACCAAATAGAGGTGGGTACAGGTCAGGTACCCTAACTTTTTTAGTCAACCGAATCCGAAAATCTCAGCTATCATGAGACATCATTACCCGATTTCGGATTCATTTGGTTGAGTACCCGAATCTTCAGATATTCGAGATATTGCCTGGGTACCCGAACTCAGGGTGAAAATACCAAATTTCAAAGTTTTGAACACAGTTCCTAAATACAATCCTGAGACAAAATGCACATCATAATTCCGAGACAAAATACAAATCACAATTCAGAAAGAGAATACAAAGTTTAGAAGCCTGTGTCCAAGATTGTTGGTCTCATTGTTAACTACGCTAAGCAAGTCATAGTAATACTCGTTTCGCATGTCAGCAATTGTAGCATATCATCACATTGATAAAGAACGTCTGGCATTGCTCTTAGCTTGCAGATGCAAACTTCAACATTTAGGAAAAAATTTACCAAAAAAGAGAATATGCAGCGATGAAGTTAAGGCTCGTTCAAATATCATATGTAAGAAGATATGGGCACGTTGTAAGGGAGAATAGAAACAATTAGATTTTTTTTTTTTTTGATAAAAGAAACAATTAGAGTTGATGGCTGCTAACAATAAAAGGGATTGGCCAAGGACAAGAGGATATAAATTTCAATCTTTATCTCTAACAACCAAAATTGCTACACAGAAATAAGCTCCTAACAAAATTTCAAAGCATATACAGAACAAGTACTGATACCGCTATAGGCCCATTCTAAGATCACACGAGTAGATCGAAATTGAAGGGAAGATGGACCCTAAACCTTAAATTCGAAAAACCATCTCGAAATTCCAAGCGAATCGACAAGGAAAGAAAAAACCCATAGAAAAAAAAAACGTAGGAACAGAGAGAGAGAGAAACAAGACTTAATCCTAAAACCTAAAACGAACCAAGAGACAGAGATAGAAAGAGACCAGCGATGCGAGTGGCCGACCAGAACCAAAGCGAGGCAACGAGACCGATGCACGAAGAGTCGACAATAGACAAAAATCGACGACAGTTGCGAGACGGCGAGACGGCGAGACGTCCGGCCGGAGAGATCGGTGTGGACTGAGAGTAGGGGAGAGAAAATGAGGCTATGGAAATGAAGTGAGAAAAAAAAATATATATATATATATATATATATAAAGTTATAAACCCTAGGTTTTTTTTTTAAAACCTAGCGAAAATATCGTAAATTTCATATTATTATACTCATCCCTAACGCGAATTGAAACTTGGCGCCAAATGTGAAAATTAGGGCTTTTTAAAGCTGTTGACCGGTGTCGAAGCTGTGAATGCCTTATCCACCGTCAGATCAGCCTAAGGGAGAGAAATGGACGGTTCTGATAGAACGGCTCAACATTGGGCCTATTTGTAACCGATTTTGACCTAGGCCCATAAAAGCTATTTGCCATCATCGGTGCACAATCTGAACAGAAGCCCAAATGTGACTCGAACGGAGAAAACGAGGAGAGAGATGATGAAGGAAATTCAAACTCAGGAGGAAATTTTTCGAGCGCAATTCTGATCGTGGAAAAAAGGGATTGAAGGATTCAGAGACGAGGAATCACAAGGTAATCGATCACGGAGATAGATGCAAAACTCTGCGTAATCCATCGTGTTCTAGTTCCTTGTTCGGCTTCCCTTAGATTGTGAGCTGTTTGTTTCTCATGTTCCCCGTTTTTGCCTTTAAGTTGGCTGAGAAGAGGGAGTGCTCCGTTGTCCGATGCATCTCCCAGGAATTTGAAGAATCCATTGGATTTCCCTCCGATTTCTGGATCTATCTATGATTATGATGCCGATGTGTGGCTCTGCAAATCTTTTACTAGGTTTCGTTTTAGTCGTCCTTCATAATTTTTTTTTTTTTTTGGTAAGGAGTCATCCTTCATAATTTGTTCTTCTTTTGGTTTGATTGCTTAACTACCAATTTTCTTGCAAGTATAATGGGAATTTGAAGCACGTTTGATAATCTAGAGGAATTTTTGTTAACGTAATTGTAATCGATCTTTGCTTTGATTAACGGCCTTGTCTGCTTTAGTAATGCTCTGTTTCAGTTTAAAGTGCTTATTAGGTGTTGATCATGTGTTTGTTTGATTGTTCGATTTCTCTTTATCTCTACAGAGTGTTCTGCAAGGATCATGTTTAGATATGTGTATAACTATGTCCGAGAAATTTCATCTGATTGATCTATCTCCAACTTCAACGATCAAGAATGTGGCAAGACACATGGATATTTCTGTTGCTGAGTGAGTACGTTTAATCGGGGGCTTGTCGGTTTCTCTGAACTCCTTGCGTGTTGAGGTTAATGAATTCAATAATTCGATCTATCCAAGTGATCTTCATGCTGTGGTCTGTTCTTGCCCTGATTGTGGTGTTCTTGAGCTCAGGAAAGCAAATTCCTTTTGCTGGACCACTTCTCCATGGAAGGAACCGTTCATGGACAGATTGTTGAGTGATAATGTAAGTGATTTTTTTTTTTTTTTTGCTTTTCTTGCCACTTTGATGAAATGGATTTCCTTTTTCAAGATGCAATTTACCCACATTACTTTATATTGCTTGGTGGAGTTATACAGGGGTATATGTTACACTGAGTTGCCATCAACATCTCAGATAACCTAATTATCGGCGTTTACAGTAGACGACATAAGGTTGTGTAAACTGTATAAACCTTTGATATTCACCTAAGCAAACAATATTTGGGTGGGTGAATTATGTAGATCAGTGCTTTGGGAAGAGTCTCTAACATTATTCTCTAGCAAGGTATACTCCCTTTGAAGAAGCCAAATACATGTTCTCATGCACGAGGAGTTCAATATAACGGTTAGCTCATTTGATCTTTTTCCCTTTGGTACATGTTCTAGGTACTCTTTAACATTTGATTTCTCCATTCTTGTTGACAATGTTAGTTGACTGCAAAGTCTTCCTTGCTAGATTCTTCCTATCTGTCATCCATACTTAATCTTTGCTTAGTACACAGTGGTGGTTAGGCTCATACACTCGTTAATTGAGCCTGTTTTCTTTTCTGGTACATCGTTTGTCTCTGTCTCCCAAAATGTAGATTTTGGGTCACACCATTGGTGTGCTAGACTGTATTTCCACACTATATAGAAACCTATCCTTACCTTATTCGATCTATTCTCTGTTAGGCTTTGACAAATCGATGATTATAGGATAAATATAGGATAAGTCCATTATCGTGTGATATGCTAATTTCATTCTTTGAGGTTAATCAATGCTAACGACTAGGATTCCGATGTTAGCTCATTTGGAAGAGTCAAATTCATGTGGATTTGGTGAAAATCACAACGCTTGAAGAAACCTTATAAATAACCCTACATTCTTCCAAGGATTGTAGATTTCCACACTAAGCAGCAGAAAACTAATGCATCACTAATTAAGTTACTCATATGAACTATGTGTGCCACCAATGCTTAGAGATACACTAACATTGATTGTTAATATTAGTCGTGATCATGAATGATCATATTTTGTATTTTCAGCAATAGCTTTTTACTGATTTCTTGCGGCATTGATACGAATCACTAGATTTAGATTGCAATGCCCTTTAAACTGGTAACTTATCATCTGCATTTTCCCTAAATAGATTTATCATTCAAGTACCCATCTTTTAATTAACTATGATCTTCGTTTTCAATTTGAGCAGGCATACCTAAGGGAGGAAAAGGTCATGTAAATGCCTCGTTCACAGGTCTCTCTCTCTCTCTCTCACACATCTTCAACTTTCATAAAAACAACCAAAGATTTGAAATCGAATCTAGTGGGTATGCATTCTATTGTCGTGGTCTTTGTTCAGCGGTTGTCAGGAGCAAAGGAGGCAATCTCCCTGCTAACTTTCATAATGCATACTCAAATGCCTCTTTAGACTTTAGAAACAAAAATATAAAATCAAATCATATATGTTTTCGAGAGGTTCTTTTCTTCTGTAGAAGGGGTCCCATGATGTCTCTACATACACATGGTGTAATTATTATGATAGAGAAACAAAAGCAATATCACTTCATCATTAATTTTATAATAAAACAAACGAAAAAAACATTAGATAGAAATCTAACCATAGATTAGATCCCCTATATTAACGTAGTAGGTATCTAGAGTTGTAATCTATACTCATATGATTGATTACCTTGGGATTATGTCATTTGTTTCCCTTTTCCCGAGTAAAATGTGTTTTCCTAAATTCAAATCCCGATAAAAGTAATTACTCACCGTTTCATAATAATTGACATTTTAAATAATTATTTTTGTTTCATATCATTTTACCTTTTCTAGATAATTTTTTAAAATAACTTACAATTTTATCCTTTTCAAGCTACCACAATTATAATAAAGTTTCAATAAAAACATTGTTTTATTCATTAAACTTATATTAAATAAGTGTGTATAAGACTTTTTTATATTTTTTTAAAAAGTGTAAAAAAATTCTAAAACGATAATTATTAAGAAATAGAAAGGGAGTATGCGGTTTAATAGGATTAGGATCCGTTTCATATCTCATTATTTTCACATTATTGGCTACATTGGTTATTTTTCTCTTTCATAAAAGAATTTTCGTGTGCCAAATTTATTTATTTCGAAAGATTAGGAACAAATAATAATATTTATGATTTTGGATTTTATTTTGATATAATTAAAAATAATAATTTGTTGCAGTTTGATCCATAAACACATGTTAATTGCAATTTCATATTTAAACATACATTATTTTATTATGGTTTTAACCTTATGGAAGTTGGAAACCATATGTGATTAAATAATTAGTGGTAATTAATTGGATAAAAGAATCATGCCAATACACAATTAATTGCACTTGTATGTATAGTGAGGTTGTACTTGTTTGGGGGATGTTAGGAAGTTTTTTATCTACTAAATTGTATTGATTAGTTTACTATAAAAATGTTTTTTCTTCATGAAAATGAGTTTCAAGATCAGAAAATACAAACAAAAACTTTAAAACTCTGAAGTTATCAACTTATCATTACAGGAAATTGAATAATAAAATTGTCGGCGGATTTGACCTAGAGAGTTTTTGTTTGTCTTCTTCCATGGTTTCGTTTTACGAATATTTTAAAATTTTCTCCGATCAAAATGAATTTGAACAATGTACTAAGCAATTGGAATTGAAAATGTAAATTAAAAATGGAACAGATATTCCCAAAAATCCTAGAAAAATATATAAACTTTTTAAATTGCAAGTGGGCCTTATAGTGGGATGTTTTTTTAGTATATTGGCAAATGCAATGATTATATCGGTATTAACCATATATATAGAATTATGTGTAGTTTCTATTGTTTTTTTTTTCCTTTGTTTAATTAAAGTAGTAGAAGTTAATTAAAACCTGATATAATTTTTTTTTTGTAACCGGTATACTAAACCAAACCAAGATACAGACTAATCGCGGGTCTGGAATTTAATATAAAATTGTATAAACTAAATATTGTTTTTTATTTGAAATGATATATTTGGTACACGCATGGATTTTGAGTTTGAAATAATTCGTAGCTTTATAACCACGAACACGAAGGGCAATAAATTGTTGTTATAAGTATCTTTTAATTAATATACATTGTCTCCTTAATTAGAAAAAACTATAATAGGATTTAATGTGTTCATCCTACATCCTACATCCTACATCCTATATCAGTACCGCTAATTGTTTTATTTTATGCATTTTTCCATTTATTTTGAAGCTGTACTTTAAACCCAATGATGATAACACACTACAAAAAAAAAAAATCAATAACACAATGGAAATTAAATGATACATATATATTTATCTAAAAAAGTCGTATAATGAAATACTATAACACTGATTTTGCACTTGTGTAAACATGCTAATTAGAAAGAGAGAAAAAAAGACTAATAGTAAGGAGGAGGAGGATGCCTAGAGTCATCTACTAACCTTTTCAAATAATTTTCAATGATGCATTTTTATGAATGATACAAACTGTTGTTGACCTGACACGTTGTGAAATTGTATTTCTTCTCAATCATTCGAGAAGAAGACTGCACGATGTCTCTGCCTCAAATACACGAACGACACGAATTGTTGGTCGTTTATTATATATAATTGAAAAGCAAAACTAAAAACAGAGCAAAAGGTTAAGCATCCTTTTCTTTCCACGCACATATTATTATCGTTAAAATTATTGTAAGCAATATAGATTCTTTAATTTTTAAACTAATCAAGCTGGGCCATGAATTAATTATTTTGAATACCTCTAACCAGTTATTTTTTGGATATCTTTTACCCATTGCCATGCTATTTTGCTTATTTAATCATCCATTTTTTTATATAAAATAATGAAAATCCAATTATATCACCTTTTATCAGTTGCTTTTAATATCTTGTAGGCATTGCTGTGCTATTTTGCTTTATTAATCATCCACATTTTTTGTATAAAGTAATTAAAATCCAATTATATTATCGTCCGTTGAATATTACATTTTAGCAGCACGAAAAAACGGTGCGTTTTGTAACAGCCGTGTGCGGTTTCTCCCTTTATATTTTTTCTCTCCTAACATTTCGTGGACTCTCTCTCTCTCTCTCTCTCAAAACATTGCGCTTGAATTTGAATTCTTTTTTTTTCTTGATCCATGTGATCGATCGCCTCCGGAAGAAGTATTGATTTTGTTTTTGAATCTGTGCCGCGTAAGCGAACCCTGGGTCTGATCAAAATTAAGCTATACTAATGGCGTCTCTGGTCTCGAATCATGGATCGGAGAGAAATCCAAACCCTAGCTTTACAGAACCCTCGAGGAAGACCAAGAAGAAGAAACCGTCTACGACGTCATTTCGGAGAAGCACAGCCTCCGCCGCTGGAGAAGGTGAAAGGCACGCTCGATGGAGATCCGAGAAGCAACAGCGGATCTACTCTGCCAAGCTGATCCAGGCGCTTAGACAGGTCCGTCTAAATTCCTCCGCTGCGACATCTCCGGAGGCGAAGCGGCGGAGCAAGGCCGTGCGAGAAGCCGCCGATCGCGTCCTCGCCGTCGCCGCTGAATACAATCACAGTTATAATCGTAATACTATTAGAGACTCTTGTTTTTAATTTTGATTAAGTTTTTAATAAATTTAAATATAATGTTAAATTTATTATAATTAACACCTCCTTTGACCAGCCGATTTTGCATGTTGATACCTCTTTTTGATAACCGACAGGATTCGCACAACCATAAAATCACTATGACAATTATTACTCGGCATATATGTACACTTAAATCACACAAAATGAATTAACCTAATAAATTTAAATCCAGTTAAAGCATAATGGTAATAATATGGATTCAAAATACTCAGAGCTTGCCGGCGGTGCAGAGGAAAGCGAGGGTTCTCGGGAAGTTAGTTCCCGGTTGCCGGAAACAGCCATTGCCGGTGATTCTTGAAGAAGCGACGGATTACATACAGGCACTGGAGATGCAAATCCGTGCCATGAGTACTCTCGCGGAGCTTCTCTCCGGCTCGGCTCCTCCGCCGAGCTGATGAGGGGTAGAAGCGTCATTTCGCTATATTATTCCGATAATTCCCCTACTCCCTCTCTCTATATATATAAGGTATTGGTTGACTATAGAAGTGCTTCTCGTGGTTAATCTCTATGACTATATATAATTATACAATATATTTAATATATCATTTTAAATGATTTTATTGAATTTTTTCCTGGATTTTGAGCAACTGTGAATTTTCGTCTTTTTTTTTTTTTATAATCTGCTTGTTCTTTGTTTTCTCTGAATGGTACTGGAAAAAAGTTATAGTCTTACATTTTAAGTATCGATTTCGATTGAGTTTACTAAGGTTGTTAATTCATCGCATAATCTTTTTATAAATTAATCATCATCATCATCATCATTCTGCAATCGCAGAATACCAAACGTAATTAAGAAATTTATATATCTGGAAATTATTTCCACTTGCAGAATGAGCATATTTACTTCACAATTAAATGAAAATTTACACGTGCCTTTGCTGAGCTCTACAACACATGCATCATAACATTATCTTATGATAATTCCTCTAATTAATTTAACATAATCTTGAATGATATTCGTTTTGTCAAAGTCCAATGTTTATATACTTGCATATACATATCACGTCAAAAAAAGAGAGATCTCCAAATGCTTATTCAACGTGTAATTAAATTCACTGCCAATCCAAATGAAGTGATCTGTCTTTGTACTTTGGTCCGTTTGTCAATGTATAAATGTAACGATATATATATATATATATAGTGCATTCGTACAAAAATGGATAAAATAATCTAACTTAGATTTTTAACCCGAGGTAAATTTCATATATATATATATATATCATAGATTTTTTTCTCTATATAAAGGGTAATAACATGATTTGACATTTTTTTACCTTTCTATAATAATTTCATTTAATGGACATTGATGAGTGCATAAGATTAAAGTGGATGAAACATTGATGAGATTACGTCTGTCACTCAATAATCTCTTCGCTTTGTTGTCCCCCTCCCTCACCCCAATGAAATTTATCGTCTTCTTTTTTTTCTTTTCTTGTATATAAATGAGCTATGGATGAAAAATAATATAAATACAAATGTTTGATAAGTTTTCCTACAATGTGATTTTGGTGATCGACCATCATTTGTCTAAATCACAATTTTATCTCTATTATAATTAATATATTAAAATTAAAATTTCATTCCAACACGATACAATACACCTAATATTCATTATTATCTATTCAACTTGGGTAGTTCAACCGGTGAAATAGAGCGCAAAGCGTCTATTCCGCCCTGAGTTCGAACCTCAGACTGTGGAGGAAGCATATAATTCAAATCACATATATGACTTCCGGCCCCGGGGTTAGTCTGAGCCTCGATCCAGAAAACCCGGTTACCAAAAAAAAATTCATTATTATTTACAAATATTCTTTAATGAAGTTGGCCAAGTTGGCTATAAATGGTCGTGTTTGTGAATCATTTTAAATTATGAAAATTATTTGATCTAAACTAATATTGATATAATCCATTACTCAGTTACGTAAAAAATAAAATGTTCACGAATTACAGAAAAAATACAGGGATCAAATCAAGAAAGAGGGTTCTAGACAGACACTTGACATGATTGTTGGTGTGCTCTGTATATTTTTGGACCGACCTTATTATAATTTGGACAATGAGAAGTAAAAGTAATTGATCGAAATCATAGACAGACATTTCTGTTGTTTACGATTGACAGTCGTCTCACACGTCGGTCTAAAGTTTATTAAAACAAAAAGATCACGTGGTCACGTATAATAAATTACATATTCGTAAATAATAATTTTTTTTTGATACATTTGGGGAACCCCGTAACTACCTACCCTTACAAACGGAGACGAATTGACCACCACCCGCGCCTAACAGTCCCCATGGACCTCAGTCCGCCGGACCTGGCCACCAGACGCGCCTAACGCTCAGGCCGTAGTTGGGCTTAGGCGCCTGCGGGTCAAACCCCAAGCCCACGTGCACGAGCCTGCAACACACGCGTAGGAGGTAAATCAGCCCGTTATGACAGACCGACAGGTGAGCAGGTCAGAGAAAGTGAGACGGCGAGGAATCGAACTCCCCACCTCATGAATGCTCCCCATGCTCACTACCACCTGACCTGGGGGCGAACCCCATAGTTAGTGATTAATTGGCCTCATAATCCACCAAAACCATTGCTTATTTTGTTATAATCGTAATACTATTAGAGACTCTTGTTTTTAATTTTGATTAAGTTTTTAATAAATTTAAATATAATGTTAAATTTATTATAATTAACACCTCCTTTGACCAGCCGATTTTGCATGTTGATACCTCTTTTTGATAACCGACAGGATTCGCACAACCATAAAATCACTATGACAATTATTACTCGGCATATATGTACACTTAAATCACACAAAATGAATTAACCTAATAAATTTAAATCCAGTTAAAGCATAATGGTAATAATATGGATTCAAAATACTCAGTACAAAAATTTGGATATATATATATATATATATTTATAACGTTTTTTTTAAATGTCGCAATATTCGGACAAACGTCGCACATGTGCACCTTTGTTTTTGTATCCTCTACTTCATTTCTTTTCCTTTAAGAAACCTTAATAACAATTTTATTAGAAGCATTCTTTTGTTTGTGGGAATGATGTCATTCCATATCATAAAGACAAACTAATATATATATATATATATATAACATTATTCATAAATTTATTTTCAGAAAGGACATCACTTACTTTGATTCTTTCACGTAAATGAAAAAATAAAAAAGCGAGAAAAGGAAACAGACCATTTGATTTCAGTCTCACCAAACATCATGCATGTGGGTATATGGCAAAGCAAGTGCAATATTTTTATAAAAAAAACACACCCTATATATATATATATATATATATATATATATATATAGGTTCGAGTCTTTTTTCCGGGTTTGTTTTTTTATAAAGAAGA